TCCCACTGGCTGGAGGAGGAATTTCTAGTACTTGTACTCCACCTCTCTTTCTCCCGTTTACTCTATCCTTCCGGTAACTAGTTCAGTCCCCTAGGCCGGCAACAACTTACAATTCCTGAAACCATTCCGCATTCCGTAATAGAGACGATTTCGGATCCCTGGGAGCATGTTAAAAATCGCCTCATTTTCTCCGGACACCACAAGCGTCAGTATAGCAGACCGCAATACTGCCTGCTTGTAACTGTTCCGACTGGGGCCGTTTTAAACTCTTGGAGTCATCAGGCGTAATACCTGAGGGATAACCCGTTTTTTGCTGTCGTGTAACAGCTGGAGGCAGTCTCCGCTATCCAATATGTGCCACCCTTAGATTTACCCAGTCGGCAGACTTCGATACTCGCGACGTAGCGGTCTTTGACGAACTCTATTTCCTCACGTCAGAGACTGGTATTTGTGCCCATTCCTGGCCGGGGTTTTGACGTATTTGCAACTGCTGTTGCCCAGCTGCGGCCCTCCAACACCCTTTCGTGTGAGTAGGTTCCCCACCCTCCGTTCCTGAGATTATCTTTCTCTGAAGAAACGGACTTCTCTGCTAAACTTTTTAGTTTTGCAGCAGCTACAGGACTGGAAGCGGTAGTTGTTTTCTTCGCATCAATCGCTTTCCTTTCACTTCCCCTCACTTCTTGCAACGGGTTCCCTTTAGGCTTTGGCGTTGATCTACTCAAAGGTGAACACTTCGGTCCGTGTGTGCCCTTTGGTGTGCACATCTTACCTTGAGTCTTGATTGAGTTAGTCGCCGACTTCGCTTTTTTGGGCGCTCTTACTGTTCGCAGCTTAACCATTGTATTCTTTAGCGACCCTACTTCCTTCCCACTCATGGGCGGACATTTGGTTCTACGGACCACCATATCATTAACTGAGGTGACAATTATGCCACCCCTAGTGATGTTTTCTATTGCCACTGCTCTGGACAATAGGCAGTCCCTCGCGTATACGTTGGTGAAGACTAGCAATATCGGTAGGGGGTGGA